CTTATTCATTCGACGAATGAATAAAACCTCACGGCAATACTGTAGGATAAATATTTTCATTTTCCTGGTTGTGCAGAGAAGACAACTGAGACCCCAAGAGATGAAGTGTCTTACCCAGGCTGACACAGCCAGTAAATAGTTGAGCTAAGATTCAAACCCAGGTTTTCACCAAATGCCTCACTGCATTCGATTTATATTAAGATCACGCTGGAAATGCCAACAAAGACAATTTTTAAAAATAAAGAAGCTGAAACTGCCCAGTGTTCCCTCTCCACCCCCAACACAGCATGACCTGTGCCAGTGAGAGGGTTCTGGGAGCCGAATGCAACCCACACGAGGCGGAGGCCAGGAGACAGGGGTGGCCCTTGTCCCTCAGCCGCGGGGACTAGATCCTCGCATGGAGCCCCTCCCGGCTTGTCCCCACCAGGGCAGGACTTGGATACAAAGTCTCAGGAGAACAAAGATCACATTTTCCCCTATGAAGCAGAGAGGCCAGCGCTGGGGAAACAATGGCCTTGCTGGGATCAAAGAGAGCTGGGCCTGGACTGGGGACAAAAGCTGAGCCCCAGCTTGATAAGAATGACAGCCAGCTCTCCTCCTCCGGTTACAAAGGTCTGGGGGCGTGCGTGTAGATCCTTAGGGGCCCACCCCACCTTCCAGCCTCACTCCCCAGCTCCCTGCCCCCCACCCCCACCTTGCACAGCTCCAGGAATGCAGCCTAACTGCCCTCCCCCAAGCCAGCCATGTTCTTGTCCGTTCTAGGCCTTCCCTCAAGCTTTTCCTCTAACATGCTCATCTCCTCCTTTCCCCTTAAGTGCACTGACTCAGGCTTCAGCGTTTCAGCTCACAAGCTGCCTCCTCTCTGCCCTCCGTGACCCTTTGAGGCCTGGGTCCATCACACCCTGCTGTGGGCTTGCACCAACCCAATTCCCGCCTCTAGTTCCAGCACTGCTTATGTTGAATTATTACGACCACTGTCAATACGACCTCCCCCCCCGCAGGCTGTGACCACATGGAGGCCGAGACAATTTCTTACCGATTTTGTAAATGCATTGCCTAGCCCTAGAGGAGACGGATGGGTAAACGTTGGTTGAATGAATAAAGCAATGAACGGTGTAGAGTGAGCTCTCCTAAGGCCTGGAAATTCACTTTGGGACCATGTCTTTTGAATGAATCAAAACCTCTCTGACCTCTGGATCTCCTTCACTGAATTTTATGCAACTAATATTCTTAAAGTGCCTCCTCCATTCAGGGCATGGCTGGGTACTGAGACTGGAATGGTCAGCGAAACAAAACCTCTGCCCTCATGGAGTTTCAGTCTGTGGCCAGGGCCAGGGAGACAGACATTAATCAAGTACATAATTTAAAATGATGATAAGTGCTAATAAGGGAAAGCACAGGGCAGGGCAATAAAAGAGCATATTAACTTGTGCATCAATGTCTGTCTGTATGCCCAGCAGAGGTCTTGGCTCTGGGAGGGATACATCAGGGAACTATGTGTCCACTATGGAGATAACCTAGCTAGTAACAGGAAAAACTAGTCCAGGCTGGGAAGGCTTCCCTGAGTAAAGGACAGCTGAGCCAAGATCTAAGGCTTGAGCCAGCATTAGGAAGCAAGAGGCAGGAGACAGAAAGACTAAAAATTTGCTATGATTAGCAATGGATTTTCCTATGGGAAAATATCAATGCCTCCACCCTAAACTGCCCACAAAGAACCTGGTAGCAGGAGTCGGCAGAGCAATTGGAACATGTGGACGTCAGAGAGGCTGTGTACTTTTCCCAAGGTCACCCCCAGGACTCTAGCAGATGGAAAGAGATGGAGCCCCAGGGCCCCAGCTCCAAGTCTGCTACCTCACAATGCCCTGCAACTGTGAGACAGATCGGGGAGACCCTTCTCCAGCCCAAAGGTGGGGCCCTGGGATTGAAGAGCAAAGCATCCCCAGGAAGTGGCCCCCCGGAGGACCAGGCTCGATCTGAAATTTCCTATGAAGGGACTGTCCCTCACCATAGCAAAAGTAATAGTGATGCCTCCTAATGCTGTGTTCATTCAACAACCACGCACAGTTAGCAAAGCACTGTCGCAAAAACGGCCCCATTTCTTCTAAGAGCAATGGTCAAGCCCTAGGCTTCAGTGAGACTGGGTTCTAATCAAGTCTTATTAACTGTGACCTTAGACAAGTTATTTTTCTACTCCGAGCTTGAATTTCCTCATTTGTCACTTGGAGCCAAGGCTCCCTATTGGCAGGGTTATAGTTAGGATGGTGTCTTTATTATCAGTTATCTCAGGTTGCCATTACAAAGTACCAGAGACTGACTGGCTTTAACAACAGAAACATTTTCTGGAAGTTCTGGAAGCTAGATGTCTGAGATTAAGGTGGTTTCTTCTGAGGCCTCTCTCCTTGGCTTGTAGATGGGCATCTTCTCCCTGTGTCTTCACATGGTCTTCCCTCTGTGCTAATTTCCTCTTCTTATAAGGACACCAGTCTTAGGGGATTAGGGCCCACCCTAATGGCCTCAGTTTAACTTAATTATCTCTTTAAAGGCCCTATCTCCAATTAGTTACATTCTGAGGTACGGGGTGGGGGGGGTAGAACGTCAAAATATAAATTTGCGGGGGCTTCCCTGGTGGCGCAGTGGTTGAGAGTCCGCCTGCCGATGCAGGGGACACGGGTTCGTGCCCCGGTCTGGGAGGATCCCACATGTCGCGGAGCGGCTGGGCCCGTGAGCCATGGCCGCTGAGCCTGCATGTCCGGAGCCTGTGCTACGCAACGGGAGAGGCCACAGCAGTGAGAGGCCCGCGTACCGCAAATAAATAAATAAATATATATATATTTATATGGAATACAATTCAGCCCATGACAGATAGAATAATGTTTCTAAATGTCTGCATGATGCCTGGCACATAGCAGACACTGACTAGATGTCAGGAATCATGGGCATCAGTATCACGGGGAAGAATTGTGGGGTAAAAGACCACCAGCTCTCTCTCATGTGCTTTAATGGACAAAGTGGGCCATGAGGCACCCTAGGTTCTAATCCTGCCTTGCTGCCTGGACGACCTTGGCAAGACCTTGGTACTAGCATAGAGGATGCACCCCCTAATGTCTACATCCCTTTCCTTCTCACATATTTCTGTTGTATAAATAGAGAAAAATGAAGTCTCCAGCTCCTGCCACTCCAACAGTAGGACAGGAAAGAGGCTAAGCTCCTGCCATTTTCAGAACGAGCCACACCAATGCTCACAGAGGACTTAGCGTCTTGCTGCTGCTCTGAACATCTAGTTGAAGCACCTCCAGAAAAGATTCTCTGCCTTACCTCTCCCCTACTGCCCTCCCCAGAAAGCGAGAGGCAGCATTTTTCCTAGAGGCCATCAGTTACAATATTATCAGGCCCTGAAGACATAACTTAGGGAGCTGTCCTGATAGGACTCAATGGTGCCCAGGTCACCCGATGGTATCTCAGGCCAGATTCATTCATCTGGCACCCTCCCCTGCCCTGTCTGGCCCTGGCATGTCCAGGACAGCTGACCCTCCAGGAGCAGCTGCCAAGGCCAGAATATCATCTTTCAAGTAGCTTTCCCACCATGTGGTTGTTCAATGAGACACTAAAGAAGTTGTTGGTTTGGGTTGTTTTGTAAAGACTGTCTCAGCATATCCTATTTGCAACGTGAGCCCGGGCAGTTCCTACAGACTGGGTTTAGTCTATTGTATTTGCTTCCTCTTTGAGTCCAGTCGTATCAAGATAGTGATGCCAAAAGAGATGAGTGAGCAGAGGAGAGATGCTGAAGTGGCACTTTGGCACAGCAGGAAAAAAAAAACAAATGGGTTTTGAAAAGGTACTAATTGATCTTTAGGCCGGTGAGGCCCTATTTGGGGGTAGCTTTTTGTGCTCCATTCTGAGCCCCGTATTTTGCATTGATTTTCAAAGTGACCCATGCTCGCTACAGAAAATGTGGAAAACAGAAAAAGGTAAAGAAGCACGCACACACACACACACACACACACACACAACCCATAAGCCCATCATCTTAAGATAATCGTTGAGATAATTGTTCTTGGTGTTGGGATGTATTTTACTCCAATTTTACTTCTTGTAGAATTAAGATCATACTAGAGATAAAGTTTTATATCTTGTTTGCTTTTTTCCAGCTTTATTGATGTATAATTGACATATCTTGCTTGTTTTAATTAGCATTTTATCATAGACATTTTTTTCAAGAAAAATTTAATGTCTGCATAACATTCCACTAAACTGCTGTATCACTGTTACTTACCCATTCTCCTGTGGTGAGTGTTTAAGTAGGTATACTATTGTCTGTTTTATTATGAATGGCTTTTCTTTTATAGGTTGGGCTGTTATAAATAATGCTGCCTTGGACATCCAAGTACTTTATCTAACTTTTACTGACATATCACATCCTTAGTTCATATTCTGTGTTCTTAAAAGAACCCTGAGAATTAGGTAGTATTTGCATGTAATAGATGAGGCCAGAGATGAAACACAGCTAGTAAATCCAGACTGAAACAGAGCCCACTTCTTTAGACCTCACGCCCAATGCTCTTTCTACTACCCTGTGACTGATATCACAAGGTGAACAACAGACACATGAACCATCTGACAGCCGGGTCCCATCAGGAAGAGTCGGAGGACCCAGGAATTCTACACCTAGAGGAGCTAAGACCTAGAAAGCAAAGATGTCATCCAGCATCGGTCAGGATGGCCGATTGGTGAAAAAGCAAGCAAGCTTGTCCTGTGCAGCCACAGAAGGCAGAACTAAAACATCTATATGGGAATTCAAGATGATTTCCATTCAATATAAGAAGAAAGTGTGATGCCATGAGTTTGACATAAGATGGGCTTCACTTTGAATCCTTGCTCTGTTACTTACTGGTTGTATGAACTTGGGCAAGTCACTTGTGTTCTGTGAAACTCAGATCCCACAAATTTAAACCATGTGAGGTTGATCTGAGGATCAGAGGTAATGTGCATTTAGTATATAGTTTGGTGCACAGCAGGGGCTCAAAAACGGTCACTATTTTGTTAACACTAAATTTTGGCTGTCCAGCACGGAACGGGCCACGCTGGATGTTCAGGCAGAGGTGGGATATCCATCTGTCCAATGGTTAGTGGAGGCAGCAAGGTTAAACCAGGCGGTCTCTGAGTTACATGGTAAGAAAAATGTGAGCCAGAGTTAGGAGCCCTGGATCCAAGACCTTGCTCCATTACTTAGGAGCTGAGGCATAAGGACTTATCTTTTCCGGGCCTCAGTCACCTCGTTCGTAAAAATGGGAGTAACACCGCACTCCTCACTGGGCTGTTAGAAGAGAGAAAAGAGATTATTGATATGCAAGCACTCGATATAACTCCAAAAATTTCCACTAAAGTCCATTCATTTTATGATTATCATTCCAACTCCACAGTGCAGTGGCTCTCCTGGGGTTGCATGAAGAAAATAAACTGTGCTCCTGATAAAGCTGCTGGGGGAATTCCCTGGCGGTCCAGGGGTTAGGACTCCGTGCTCCCACAGCTGGGGCCCCGGGTTCAATCCCTGGTCAGGGAACTAGGATCCCGCAAGCCGCTCAGCACGGCCCCAAAACACCTGCTGGCTTCCAGCCTCCACACCCTTCACAGCCATACCTTTATCTTCCAATGCTGTTTAAAGAGGGAGCCAGCCAGGATGACCAGTGCACGTCTGGAGTTTGGAGGGGCTTACGATGCTGCCTGTGGACATGTCTTTCATCCCCCAGGAATGTCTGTGGTATTTACAGAGCAGACAGTACCTCGTCTCCAGGACTAGGTCAGAGGCCATCAGGACCCTTCCCCAGCCCCCTCACCTCTGGGCGTGGGACACTCGCGGGCTTTGGACAGCTGCCGCTTTGGGCTGGAATGCTGTGAGCTAGGCCCGACATATGTTCCATCAATTTCCTTGGGAAAGAAAGATCCCAGAGACGCAGCCTGCATTCATCCATCTAATATCAGCCACCCCAGGTGTCTCTGGGGTTTTACTTCTTCATTGGTTGTAGCAAGTGACTGGCGCCCTTCCCTCAAATGCCCATTATGTGAGGCCAGGCATTCCTGATCCTTGGTGCTCAGGCTTCCATCCATCACTTAGGAATAGACAGGACTTGCATTCAGAGGAAGAGGTGGCTTGTAGCAGCTACACCCCAGAAATCCTGATTAGGTGTCTTCTTAGCCAACATTCCCTTTCCTCCATTGAAGTCTTGGGATTTATATCAACCCCCATCAGTCTCCTTACAGCAGAACTGGGCAGTTGAAAGCTCTGAAGGCAGGTAGACGCGATCACAAATACATCTGGCATTTGTTTGTGACATAAGGCAAGGTGTTACATAGATTAAATGAGATAGTGTATAGTAGACCCTTAGCCCACTGCCTGGGCCATAGTGAACATCCTGTAATTAGCTGTTCCTTAACTGTTGTAGTAGCTGCATGATCTTGGGCAACTCACAAGCTCTTTTGAGCATCAGTCTCCTCATGTGGAAAAAATGGATCATCTATAAAAAGCGATTAAAAAGAAAGCAATAGGTTTCACACTCAGAGCAGGCTAGGTTCATTATGTACGTCTTGCACGTAGTAAACTGTGTTCCCTTGGCATGTTATTTAAGGGAACCTCACAGCTTCAGCTCCCTTTTCTATAAAGTACAAATAATAACACCCATTCTTCAGGGTAGCTGGGAAAATGAGAGATACTATCTGGAAAGTTCCTAGCGTGAAGAGCAACTATGACATTATTCCTGGTGGGCGACTGGCAGCATGATTCCTACTTTAATTTGGAATGGTAGTGATTTAAACTTGGCATCTGAAGCCACTGCCTCTTCAAAGGGTGGAACGGTGTAATCGCCAGCCAACTCTGCGGCAAGCAGACACGGAGGTAGATGCTGTGGAGGCAGCACGTGGGCCACATAGGTTAAATCGGAGCCAGGCTCGTATTACACAGGCAACCGCCAAATGCTTTGGTGGGGGAGATGACCACTCTCCCATCTGTCCTGCCCAGCCTCTCCCTGCCCCGTTCAGGAGTGGAGCATTCCTCTAGGACTGAACTCACAGAGGAGCCAAAATAGACTCGACTTCTATTCCTCATTCCATCCTTGAGCACCATATTTACCCTGTTCTTTCATCACCTAAAAGCAGCTTTGTCATACGACGACTCCCAGCTCAAAGAACTTGAGTGGATTCCTCATATCTCCCAAATGAAGTTCAAATTCAGGGTCTTGAATGACGTTTACAAAGTTAAGGTCTTCTAGAATTTTCCACCACTGATCCCAAGGAAAGCTCATGGTACGGGGGGATGGGGGCGCGGCTCCAGCCTCTAGGAGTCACACACACCTAGCGGAAGCCCGGCCCATGCCATGTAGTGCCTAAGTGGTGTGGACCAAATTTCCTGGAAGAAACAAGTCAATATTCCTCAGGCGCTACAAGACGAGGCTTGGTGCTGGGCACCTCCGTATGTTATTCCTGTTAATTCTCACGATACCTGTGAGGTAGAGATTCTTACTGTCTCCATTTTGCAGTTGTGGGGACAGAACCCAAGATCAAGCAACACAGGCAGAGTCTCTGAGCTCCGTTCCTTGTGGGTGAAATGGGGACCGAGGAATGCTTCCCCAAGGAAGTAGGAGGACTCCGCCCAAACACTGTGAGGTGTTTGCAGTTGCCAACATCACCTCGGCTTGAGCGTCAGTACTCTCCCTGGCTTCACCATCCTTTCTTCTAGATCAATAGCTATAGCCATAGAGACCAGCATGGTGTCTGGACCTAGTACGGATTTCATAGAAATTTGCACATATTTTTTGCAGCCTGGACTCATCACCAGGTTCCCATCAGAAAGTAAGGAGCAGGCAAGTCCCACCAGCCTCGACCAGGGCTGGCCTCCTTATTATATGTTCTCAAAGTGCCACTGCATTTTCCTTATAGTTCTTATATTTATACACAGTGGGAACACGGAGGCTGAGGAGTTCACGTGAGCAGGACGTGTGTCTAATGTGCTCATCAATGCATCCTCAGTGTGGCTGATTTCTAGGTACTGGATGAACAGATGAATTAATAGGACTGCTTTCCCTGGCAGCAGTGTATGTGCGGTATCAGTTGAACCAGGAAGCAGCACTTAGGACAAGTCATGTAGGTTCACGTTGATGCAACTCAGAATCTGCTGGCCTGGGTTGAAGTCACAACAGCAATAAGGAGACGAAGGTAAAACGTTAGTTACAGGGCTTCCCTGGTAGCGCAGTGGTTGAAAGTCCGCCTGCCAATGCAGGGGACGCGGGTTCGTGCCCCGGTCCGGGAGGATCCCACATGCCGCGGAGCGGCTGGGCCCGTGAGCCATGGCCACTGAGCCTGCGCGTCTGGAGCCTGTGCTCCGCAACGGGAGAGGCCACAACAGTGAGAAGGTTACTTACGAATTCCCAGGAGAGCAAATGTTTAGCCCTCAAGGACTCAAGTTCAAGTTCCACCACTGCCCAGACTCACATCGCATGACCCTGAGAGGTGCCATCTCCCTCACCTGCCATGGGAGGAAGCTGGATCGGGGAGCTCACAGCACACTTCCGAGTCTAATGTCCACATGTCTCCACTGGCTAACTCCTGTTGCTCCAACTTTTAAGGACATGTTGAAAATAGCTGAAACTGTGTCCAGAATTTTCGAATATTAGAGGCAACTACTGAGGGTAAAACTCATGTTGACTAACCACCCACGTCAGAATGGCGCAAAGATGTGGGATATTGGTAATTCAAAAGGGGAGACAGGCCCCCAGTGTTAGGATTAGGGTTTTAATATAATCAGAAGGGTCTCAACCCCTCTCCCACTCTCTTTTACACACACACACACCCCAAGGTAATCCCGTTACCTACCTGGACAAAAAGAGGAAGAAGACGACAAGGGCTTGGGAGAGGGAATTGCCATTTTCTAGCCTGTCCTCTCCCTCCTCTCCTGTTTGTTTGTTTTTTTTTTTCAAAGCTTAGTTCAGCTGAGCGCTAAGCATCACGGCATCCAAATCACCTGGAGTGAGGGATTGCAAGTTTGTTCAAATGCGGAGTCCTACGCCCCGCACAGATCTTCAGAATCAGACATTCTGCACGCACTCCTCATGCCCGCTCCCCACCTCCTACACTTACTAAGTTTTGAGACTCACTGTGTAAATGTTTAACCCAATTTGGGCGCTATTCAAATGTGCCACGTACTTTACACGGTAGCATGAAGCGTCTGAAACTGTCAGTGTTCAACCCTTTATGACCTTCAGAAATGGCAGTTTCATATGGTTCAACCTCATCCATCGGTGTCGTTGATGGAAACCTCAGCACAACCTTCCAGGTAGGCATAATTATTCCTGGTTTACATTTAAGAACACAAGGCTCTCAGGGGTCACGCGTCTTGATGAAGGACACACAGGCATGGAAGGAAGATGTGGGATTCAAACAGAGGCCTAACGTCTTCACAGTCCACGTCTGCCCTTCTGTTCCTGAACCTTCCACCTCTGCTCCTCAGGACAGCAGGAACACTAGACAGATGTGCACTGCGTGGGCCCCAGTGTCCTAGGTTGGCGCCACCATTGGCTCAAAACAGGGCCACGAGTTTGTCCCTCGAGGCCTGGGCTGCACGTGCAAGTTTTCAGAAAGCTTTGTTTCTTGTCAAAAACTCAACTGATGTTTTTCCTGGAATGGAACATGATTGCTGATTAAATATGAAGTGGTTTGAAGCCTAAGTGTCTCTCTTAATAACGTAATGTTTACTCTTGACCAGGAAGGGGTGCCAAGGGGCTGTTTCCTCGGGGTTATTTACATGTCCCAGTCTCCAACACCCCCTTTGCAAGCTGCTTCAGTGACCCTCTTTGGGCTTGATGCCCCCTCCCGCAAGGGATCCATGTCCTGAAGTGGCCCGAGGGCTGGGAGGGAGGGAGCATTGCTGTCCCCAGAAACATCAGCTCTGCTGGCTGAACCCCAAGCCCGATGCTGCCTTGCTCTTGCCTGGAGGAAGGGGACGCAGGAACTTACCCACTCTCTCCTGCCCCTGTAGCTTGGGGCCAGGGGACCCAAATCTGTGATGCTGTGGAGGGAGTCCTGGAGGAAGGTGGAAGGAAGAGAGCAGCTTTGTCTAGAAAGGGCTCCTATGTTACATCTATCATCCCTTTGAATTCCTCAAAGGCCCTTCAGTATGGTCACTCCTGTTGCCATCTTATAAACAAGAAAAATCAAGACCCCCGAAGTTAATACTTTCCCCAAGTCCACACATAACTTGAGTCCAAGACTGTCTGATTCCAAAGCCTTTGCTCATTTCCAGAAGGAAGGGAGAGGCAGGAGGGAAAGGGGACTTATTTTATGCCAAGCACTGTGCTAGGTGACTTCCTTTCCAGGATCGTCTCTGTTCCTTCTATCATTCCTGTGAGAAAGATATAATTATGCCCATTTCAGAGGTAAGAAAACAGAGGTTCCAGGTATCAGAGTGTTTGCCAAGGCCATAAGGCAGTAAGTAGCAGCCCAGGCTCGCAGCCCAGGAGCAGCCCAGGCTCGCTCCCCACTCCCCTACACCCCTCGGTGACAATGAGCCCCAAAGTCTGGGTCTCTTCCTCACCCTGCCACTAACTGGTGTGTGGTTGGGGGGCAAACCACTTGCCTCTCTCAACCTCAGTTTCCCCTTCTGCATCATGAAAAGGCCTCCCAGGTTTATAAATGTGAGACAACGGAGGCCCCTCAGAATAGTTTCTCTGTGTTGGAGAGATGACCTGGCTCCTGGTTGGATTATAAATAAATATTGTTTAAGTAGCTTGTCCTTGAGCTGTCTTTGTAGAGGGAAAACATCTCAGAAGACACCAAAAGAGTTTATGTCGGTCACTAGGGAGAGGCTGGGAGTGGGATGGGGGTGTGGGAGTGTTTGGGAGAAGCAAGAAGCTTCAAGAAAACCTTGGAAAGCCCCTGCAAGGGCTCTCATAGTCACATCACGCAAGCAGGGCAGGAAAAGCTCAGGTGAGCTGGGGCTTATGTGAAGTGATTCCACGCTTGCTTAGAAGGAGGGGGCTCTATCCACCTGCCTACAGCAAATGTACTCCGAGGTCATCACCCTCAATCTCTTCACCCTTGTCCGTGCCCCCCAACATGTGTCAGAATCAGGCTTCGTGAACCCCCTGCAAACTTTCAGTCCTGGGGCCAGTTAGGGTAGAGGCTACCGTAGACTAACCCCCAGAAAGGAAAGAAACTAATTTGTTGCAGTTCAGCTGTATACCAGGCATATATTCAATGATAAAAGTAACTAACACTGCAGTATTTTTTTTTACATAATAGTAAGAAATAATAGCAATTAAAAAGGACGATAAGAACAAATACAGTAATCAACACTTACGGAGTTCTTCGTGCCAATATGCAGTTCCCTTTGCACGCATTGTGTTAATCCTTACAAGAACTCAATAAAATATTTACTACTACTGTGTCCATTTCACCAACACAGCCCCCTGAGGCTCAGAGAGGTTTAGTCAGTTATACAAAATCACACAGCAGGTAGCTGGCAGATTGGGACTATGAACCCTGGTCTGGTGGCTGCTCTCCATTACACCTCCTAGGGGAAATGCCTCAACACTCCAGTCTTTCCCTTTATTAATGGTGTCACCTTGCTCAAAGCATTTAACCCCTCTGAATCTCAGTTTCCTTATCTGTAAAACAGAGTTATGTGAGGACCAAGAAAACTAGACCCATTCTCGTATCTAGCCCGTCAATCCACAGTCACGTCTGGGGCTCCTCTGGTGTGTCTGAGCTGGGGTCCAGGGTTCAGAAGCTGAATGAGAATGTCCAGCAACAAGGACAAAAGACACAGATGCAGCCAACCAAAAGGCAGCACGCTGAGCACTCTTAGAGAACCGTTTGCCACTGGATGAGAACTGGAAAAATGTTCTTATGAACCTTAGGTGAATTATTATTGTCACTCTTCATTGGCACATTAAAGGCTCATTTCCCCTCTGGTCTCACTGCTTGGGGCTCTCCCTTTCCATCCTGTATTCCTCAGATGGATGTCTGTGCCAACAGAACTTGTACTTGCAAGTTGGTTTCAGAACTTGCGACACGTTGGGCTTTTTTGTCAACCCTTCAGGAGGTTATAGCTTGGAAAATCCCAAAGGTGACTCAGAGACTTTCAGGGAAAGTGACCAAAGTTGAGGCCTCTAAAGCCCCTGGATTCCACTCGCTCTGCAGCTCCCCCCTCCCAGAACAGACCCAGCCAGAGCTGAAGCACACAGACCTCACTCCCTGTGGCAGCCGAGGGTGACAGTGCCCAGCCAGGGGCCTCCACATCCGGGCTCCACTGCCCCTCAGCTCTGTGTCAGTTGTGGATCCCTGGGCAAGTCCGTCCAAGTTCAGTGTCCTCACTGTGAAGTAGGGATAGAATTTCTAGACTCTCCCGTACGCTAACACATATACAGGGAATCTAAAAAAAAAATGGTTCTGAAGAACCTAGGGGCAGGACAGGAGTAAAGATGCAGACATAGAGAATGGACTTGAGGACATGGGGAGGGGGAAGGGTAAGCTGTGACAAAGTGAGAGAGTGGCATGGACACATATACACTACCAAACGTAAAATAGATGGCTAGTGGGAAGCAGCCGCATAGCACAGGGAGATCAGCTCGGTGCCTTGTGTCCACCTAGAGGGGTGGGATAGGGAGGGTGGGAGGGAGACGCAAGAGGGAGGGGATATGGGGATATATGTATATGTATAGCTGATTCACTTTGTTATAGAGCAGAAATTAACACAACATTGTGAAGCAATTATATTCCAATAAAGATGTTAAAAAAAAAAAAGAATTTCTAGACTCTCCTCCTCCCAAGCCTGCTGTAAAAACTAAACAAGAAAGTACAGTATTGTGCAATGACACACCTGTCACATAGAATCCATTTATCGTCAGTGAGCATACACTTTGTGTCACCAACTGACCATAATACCTAATGTTGGGACCTCCCTGGAGGTCCAGTGGTTAACACTCCACATTTCTACTGCAGGGGGTGTGGGTTCGATCCCTGGTCGGGGACCTAAGATCCCACATGCTGCACGGTATGGCCAAAAAATTTTTTAAAAACCTAATGTTTTCTGGGCACCAGTTATTAACCAAATTAGTTAATAACTCCATACATTAAGTTCCTTATATTAACTAAGTTAACATATGTAAAACTAAGTATGACATATATGAGTTAATATTAACAGTTATATATATACAAACTTAGCAAATATACAGAATTACAAAAATACTCAGTTTTACATATATTAACTAATGTAATCCTCACAACAACCCCAAAGGTAGATATTTTCTATATCCCCATTTTACAGATGGGGTAACTGTTCAGAGGTTAAGTGACTTGCTTAAGGCTCCACAGACACAGCTGAGAAGTGGAGAGTTGGAAATGAACCCAGGAGGGACAGCTCCAGAGTCTGTACCCTTAACCTCTACCTCACTCTCCACCAGCGAGATATGGGGTCCACAATCTGGTAGGAAAGAGAGGTAAGCAGGCAACTGCAGTATCATGATTCATGCTGCAGTGACGTGGGGAGTACAAACGGACCTGTGGAGCTAGAGGAGGGGCTCCGACCGAGCCTGGGGGTATCAAGGAGGGCTTCTTGGAGGAAGCAGGTACAGAGTAACAAAGTGATCCTGGCGGAAACTCCAACTGTGGGAAAGCTCTGGGGTGAGAAAGAGGCTGGTCAGTGTGACTAATAGGGAGAAGTGGACACATCGGGTGCAGGGGTGAGACCAGCTGGGGCAGAGCATATAGGGCCTTGTAAGCAGTATGTATCAGGCAGGGTCACAGCAGGAAAGAGACAGCACATTCACTTGAGTGACTTAAGAAAAGTGTAAGAAACTTTACACGAAGTGTGGTCAGGGAGCAGGAAAAGTGAGAATGGATGCCGCAGTGCTCATGGGCTAGTAGCCAGTGCCACCCTGAAGCGTGAGGGGACCGGAGCAGGCAGGGTGCAGGGAAGACAGTGACAGGAGCTGTGGCCTTTGGCAGAGGGAAACAAACCTCTCCCGGGAACCTGCAGGAGGGAAGCAGGAGGTCAGTGCTCTGACCGCTCGCCTCCTTCCCTCCCATCTCCCGGGTCTGCATTGGCTGAACCCAGCTAGGAACATGAACATGGTGGGCCCGTTGGGGGTCAGGGTCCTAGGAGGGGAAGGGAGGATGACGGCCTTGCAGGGGACAATCAGAAGACACCCTGGCCCAGGGCTTTGTTACTTATCCGGAGGACAGCAAGGAACCGAGGAGTGACACTAGAGCTCCGTTTTGGAATGATGACTCTGATCACACGGTGAAGGAGAATATGCAGCGCGTGAGACCAGAAGCAAAGAGGTCAGTTAAGAGGCTGCGGCCAGTGTCCGGTGGTAGGGGTGTGGCCAGGAACCACGGCCGGGGTGTTTAGGATAAAGAGACCTGGACAGGTCACTAGGTAAGAGGCAGACCTTCCCTCTCCCTCCCCCCACCTCCACTGCGCCACACCTGCACGGGCACACGCACACACGCACACATGCACGCACCACCAGCTCCTCTCCGAGCACCCTGCTGCAATCACAGGCTGCGTCCTCCGTGCCTCTGATTCACATTCGACTGATACCTGTTGAGCATCCCTGGTGTAACTGCCACCGGGCCAGATGTTCTCACCCTGCTGTTTCTTTCACACGCTGCACAGATCTGAAGCCTGGGCACCGTGCTCTCATCTTACAGGAGAGCGACGTGAAGTTCAGATGAATCCAGAGACTCGTTCAAGGCTCCCACAGCAAGGACACTGCATAGCCAGGACTTGAACCCAAGTCAGCCTGGTCCTATCTTTCCACCTCCTCTCTCTCTCCTTTCTCTTGCCCTCCCCTCTTCCTGGCAGGAGACCTCCAAGTCTTACACGTCGACCTCCCAGGAGTTTCCTTGCTGAGGGTTGTCCTCCCCTGTAGAGTCCCCAGTAGACAGAGTTGAGTATAAAGGCATCTTCCCACTGCCACAGGAAGCCTCATGCATTGCCGGAGCCTTGCAGGCCTGAGGTCCCAACCCCAGAAAGTCTG